ACATTAGCCAGCTTCTTGCTTTCGCGACCACGCCAAGTGAATACCCAGCCCTTGTTGGGGAGGTGGGTATTACTGAAGCCCAGCGATTGGTTAATATGGTAGACAAGCTGAGAAGAAAGGCCCAGGAAAGACTTTTCCTCTTTGCAACGAAATGGTAGTCAATTCGATCGCCACGAGTATTCCTTCGAGGTCGATGCAGTAAATCACACAACAGCTATCCACCCACTCACGGTTGCATTCGATCACCATTGAAAGGTACACTATGTGCCATATGCGTGTGCTGTTGTTGCATCCTAGCACCATTCAGGACGTTCATCGTTCCATAGTTGACTGCGATTCGAACCGGAACAGACGCAGGAGTCGGTATGCCAGTTGGAACATTGGTCGGCATGCTAGTCGATGTCCTCGTCACATTTGGTGGGGAATTTTGATTACAATGATATCCACCAAGACGACAACACAGTCAGGATATGAGATGTCCTTGGTCCCGACCTTGGCGCCTGTCGGATAGTTGAGAGCTCCCTGATGTCCTCGTGTGAACAGTGGCCGAGAATCCTCTACAACCTCAATGCTGGGTCCGAGCGGAGTATGAGGTGCACTGGATACGCACAATCTGAATGCTGCGTCCAGAATGTGCTCCTCCCCGCCGCCAACGTTTTCCGGCTCAGCATCCGATCAAACACTGTGGAAGGCCGACTCTGCGAGTAGTCATGGCATGAGATGCTATGGTGTGCACCGAAACATACCACCGAGCTAAGTGAGCACGGGATACTTCATCCCAAGACTGTTACTCGTCTTGGCTCCGGCAGCATTCGCTCAAAACTTATGTCTCAGCGAAGAGATTGACAGATCTAGTGTAATTGCATGTCCCCAATAAGGAATCAAGCTTCTTCGTCAGGTTTGCTTCTCATTAGACACAGGTGGACTATCAAGAAACACCTGTAGCTCCTGCTGCAGACGACTTCATCATCGTGGGTGAATGAATTTGTCCCGGGGCTCGAGGGCCAACAATGAGGTGAGAATGTCGCCGAAGAAGATTTTTGAGCGACAAGAAATGTATGCAGAACACCTAGGGATGCTGCCACAAGATGATGCCATACATGAACCGGGGGCCAACCTTGCATTCTTTGTCTCCACATCTCGAGTTCCTTGAGGGATTGATGTGTACCACTGGATTACAATGTGTTCGCCCCATGCGTTAGCTTCAGTGACAAAGGCGCCGACGGGGTCTGAGCCTCCCAATCTATCATCGGCTACAGAATCCGCTTGGAAATATCTGCCCAGGAGTGTTCCAGTTGGTTTCCCCCAGTTTATTCCGCAGACTATAGATAGATGGTCGTGATGCAGGTTGAGCAAGACAATAATAAATCGTGCTCGTGTCATGCTCATCGCCATCGATCGAAGTTTAGATGGTCTTCAATCCTGCTCTCTGGGCGGCCGTCCACATGTGCCGGAACAATTCGAGGGACGTACTACCGGAAAGCTGATATGATTTCGCCGTCTTTGTCCTTGGTAAACTTTTGCGAGTGGGACTTGGAAGAAGGAGTGAACTCCTCCTGGCCGATCTCCTCTAAATCACTTTCTGCACGCCAGGCTTTGCGATTTTGATCAGAGGTGAATGCGATATCCTTTGATGTGGCAGCTGGTGGCGTCAAGCCAAGTGCATGCCAAACGTTGAAACCTGGAGGGCTATCGATCTTAGCCATGATGAGATATTGTTCTCCAAGTACTTATTAGCAAAAGCCAACTGACCAGGTGGACGTGTCCGTGGGTTGAAATCCGTGGGATCCAGCCCCAATGCCTCCTCCATCTACATCGAGTTTCAGTCTAGATAGGCAATTATGTAGATCTGGAATGTGATCTCCACTGACAACATTGCAATCCATCTGACTCAGGTCCCAGAGTTCAGCCGGATATCGAAAAGACCGACTCTAGCAATACGCTCAGAGCGGAAGAAAGCCTGTCATGAGCACCAATTGGAATGCTGACATCTAGTTGTCCTGACCCTTCAAGCAGGTTGGGATCCATGCCCATTTCCCTGGCCATTGTGTTCTGCACCGGGATCGCATTCAACCAAATGAAATTTAATCTCAATGATGAGGCTGAAACTCACAGCCCTCCAAGGGCCCGGGAATGTATTATGGCGTAAGTTTCATATGTGTGTAGGGATAATGCAGCGCTATGCTTCATCCCATTGCATCTCAAGGTGTCGAATTGCCGTACGCACCGTAATAGAGGTGGGACGTCTCTCTCGACATCCTACAGCCCCTTTCGGGTTAGAATGAAACGTTTGTTTATTTGCACTTGGTTGTGCTTGCGTTATTAAATCGTCACGACGAGGAACGCGTCCCGCCCTCGCTCGAGGCTGTCTCATACTGCTGCAGAATCGTAACAGCTCGAATGAGGACGTGCGTGATTTGTTGTACCCGCAGAGAACGGCTTGAAACCTGCGCAATCCTCATCGAACCGAAGAACTTTTGCCTTTGAAGAGCATGGAGAGGGCAATAGCAACCATCGCATATCGCTGTGAAATTCAACCAGCCCACTGCCGGTTGGCTCTGTGTTCTCATTACCATTCTTTTGCCAAAGCAGGTTGCGAACAGTTAGGGTTCGTGAAGTGGGTCGAAGGCTTTGGCATAGGGCCCGGGGATTGAAAAAACATAAGGAGCCAAACAGGCTGGTAAGAGGCCATGCAGGACCTCGATGCTGTTCTTGTTGGTGTGCTTCATCGGCTGTCCTCGTTCGTCGTCCTTATCACTGTCCTGCGTATGCACTGTCCAGGCAGCCAAAAGTGACATACTGACATTATCATCGTCATGTCTTCTCCGGCGGCTTGATTGCCTTAGGGGTCGTCCCTGATTGGCAGTCCGCAGAATTTGGACATGGGTACCTCGGCGCAACTGGCTGCGTTTCTAGGCCGCTTATCCGTATGAAAATCGAAGTGGACCATAGAGAACTTTGTCGGATCCACTGGCTGTGGCCGTGGTCTGAGTTTGGCTGAAGTCCTCCAGGCATATCGATGCCTCCGTTCTCAACCGCCAGCCTCATGTATACGGCTGGGCTTTGAGAAAGGCAATGATGCCGGTTCTGTAGCCTGATAACGCTGGCCGGGAAGATCCAGAAGAAGCTTTAGTGCTCGGAAATCCGCAGCTCCCGCCTTGAAGCGGCCTGGCCCAGGCAACATGAGTCGATGTCAATTCTCATAGGCCAACACCAATGGCTGACGTGCGAGTTTTCTGGCCAGTGTCTCAGGTAGCCCAAGGAGTCCGGTTTGAGAACAATGCAGCAAGCACCGAAAGCTGTTCCACGGCGCAGAAGAACTATGATGAGCGTAGACGACCATGACGATAACGGTTATGTCCGGTCCTCCTCGCCAAAGGCACTGTAGCATAGCCAGCGTATGTTGAACTCTTTCGTCTGTTCTGCCTGTAGAGGACCCGGATATACTGTTTGATGGCATTACCTGTGGTAACTGAGCTAGTAGGATGAAGCAGACAGCACTTTCGCTTCACCTTCGTGGTACCGGGCACCTACTCCCCACAATGCCTCGAGACCCGGGACGGGCATCCCTGTACGTTGCATGTGTCTCTTCGTGAGATGTGAACGGGGTAGTGCAAATAGCACCAGCAGAATCAAGGATAATCAACATCAGTCGCTGTATAAGGCCCCGGGTTGTAAGTGATGAAGCTCGCGACGAAAACAACACTGTGTCGGACTACATCGCTGCCAGAGGTTTGCCGCCTCATCGTGGTACGAAGACCGCTGATCACCTTTGCGCACGTTGTCGGCGTCCCTTCTATCGATGCCTGGTGCTAACATTATGTGTTTGGCGAGCTTTCTCATCCGCCAGACAGTGCGGTGACGTTGGTTACCGTGTTGCAGAACCGCGATTGATAATATCGATGAACTCATGCTTGGTAGTACGAAGTTGTCCCGCACGGCCGAGTGACACACGAACCATCTGCAGAGTTCTAGACCTCGTCGATGTTATGATGTTTGAGGCCCGGGGTTCACCCATGGCAGCATCTGCACCAACTTGAGACCCATTTTGGGCATCTGTGTATGTGAAATATGTCTAGGTCTTCTGAGGGGAATACGTTGACGTTCGGTAGCACCTCCCACGCACGCCGGACCGCTGCAGCTTCCAAGGTCTGGACGATGACGTGCGTGTCTCTAATTTTCATAAGCAAGTAGAAAACCAAACTGCCTCGAGCTCTGTTGCTATACGAGACAAGAACCCCGTTCGGATAGGTAACGAACGTAGCCTCTAACCTCGGCACAGGTCTCCAGCGTCACTCGGGTGTACGCTTGGCGTTCGGATTTCGATTGTAAATCGGTTTGTTGACTTGTAACCCGCAGAGCCTGGGATCCATTTGGCCGGGAGTCTTTCAAAAGTCCTAAATGCCGTGGCTCGGCACGTTATTTCGGACCGCCTTGCAAAAGGAGACCCGCTAATTTGGGTCCTGGTCAGTTTTCGTGGCAATTGGGGCCCGGATTATAGTGTCGTCAATCGATGGCCTTGCCGAACTCCTCGATGAAAGGTAAGTTCGGATGGAGGGTAATACAATTATGGCTCTCTGGGAGATAGAGATCCATGATGAAGGTATATGAGCACGTTCAATCAACTCTTCCGGTTAGACAGAAGACAGCGCTTCACATCTTGTTATTCCGCATTCGCAGGACGCTTTGACTTGGGAGTGTTCACCAGTGCCCGCACAAATAGAAGGTCAGATCCCTTGCGAACGACTGTTTCTCCAGCCCGTATGGGTCACTATTAGAGGGCCCCGGTTGAAGAAATGCCGTGGAAGATTTCATAAATCTTGTCCCATCTACCAAAGACATTTGATTTAATGAAGCAGACTCAAAACGCTCTGAGCTTCGAGCCTGAACATGGCTATCAAGTCAGGTCTGAACTTGCCGAAATAATCCCGACCAGGCTCAGCAGCCAGGCGTCGGCCACATGACGGCGCCGTACTGCTTCTTGAGATGGCGACGGCACTTTAATTATCAGTGCAGCCAAAGTAACAGTAAATACACGTCTGTACCTTGCCCTGGGCCCCAGATCGACGGACCTTGGGGCCCAGACGCCGAGCCATCTCAAAGGCGTCAGCGAAGCCGTCATTCTGGTTGAAGACTGCAAGGCTGCCAGTGGCCAACGCCTTCGTGGCCTCCCGCTGCTTGTCGACCATAGCGCGGAAGAGACGCACCTGTCATGTGACCTAGTTGGTAGAAGGGTCCTCTTTCCTGCGTCGTCGATAGGTACAATCTCAAGGACCTCCTTCGTCAGCAGGAAATGATTCACTTCATCCTGCACCTAGGAGGGTTTTAACTTCCCCTATACTTAGATGCCAAAGACATGGATTGATCCTCCACTAGGGCTTGACGATGGAGACGGTCTGCTCTAATATACCGACAGCCATAATGTCTGGCTAGTCGAAGTTCTCTCTCCCCAGTATTATGGGTTAATCTAGATGTCGCTGTAGGGGAGCGACTGATAGGGTGCGAGCAAAGACCACGGAATCAACTGAACTCTCCCAGGCCACACGCGATTTGTTGTCTGCAATAAACCAATGGGCGGCTGGAACCTTCAGAATGAAGATAGGCACTATACTTGTCCGCAAAACCAGACAGGCATGAGTGAAGTCTCGAAGAATTTGCGGACCCGGGGTTGGTTGTTGTCATTATTGACATTTCAAAAGCCTCATGGTGTTGAGCATTGCTATCGCCGATTTTGTGGCGAGGTTGAAAATTGATATAAAAGGCTCTAGGAGACCTGCTGCGAAGAGAATCGACCTTGATACCAGATCCGGTTGGACCGGAGGTGTGGCTATCCTGATCAAAGGAGCCAAGATTCTCAATCCAGTGACTAGAGGTGCGAGAGGTCGAGAGAGCCGGCAGTTCCGAATACTCCAGAGTACTTGGTCCCTGCAAGGCCTTGATCATTGAGCTCAGAAAGCTCGCGGTACTTGTAATCCGCCATGGAAACGGACTTCTGGTTGTCACACGACCGAACACCTGTACTTGAGGGGTTTGTGGTGCTTCCACAGCCGGAATGGTCTCGGGGTCTTGTTCGTGGACTGGGGGATGATAAGCAGGACTTGCGGCCGGACGGACTGTCACAGATGCCTCAAAATGTACCCATCGCGCCGCCTGGTCGTTGGCGATCCGAAGAATCTCCATCTGGCCATAATCGAAGATGGGATGACCATTGAGTACCACCGAATAAGACTGCATGGCCCCGGAGCTTCAGATCTTCTCAGAGCGCGAACGAGGTCAATCACGGTGTAGTGTTCGTCGTCAATGTGTCATGTTGTTGACACAGAGGGATCGAAGACAAAGAAATACAAAAGCAATGTGAATGTGTGTTTACAGAACAGGGTGAACTAAATCCTGCTACATTTCTCGGGTATTTCATAGGATTACAGTAGGGATCATATAAAAAATTAATCGATAGATGAAATTCGGGATAATAGACCTGTTCTCTTGTGCCAGAATTATGCATTGTGACGTCGTGTACTGCGAGATTTATGCATGGCCTTCAAGGTCTCTCATGAGCCGTCCCGCGACTATCCAAAACGGAAAGGCTGAGAAACTAAGTTCTACAGTCGAAAGGGACGGTGTTACGTAGCTCCTTGGAGTCTGGCGGCATATAGTGTCTGAAAGATTGGGCCAGCCAACAGCTCGGCACGGAGAGAATCCTGCCAACCAAGAGCAAAGCCTAGTGAAGTCAAAAGAGACGCAACGAGGATGAGCACGAGGGAATCGAGGTGGGGGTGGCATGAATACAGAACATGGCAGCAGCATCGCCTTTTTTGCTAGCATCGTTGGTTGTGATATCCCCGAAATTCCCTCAGGAAATCCGCCATCTGTGGCAGGTTTCGCATGAAAAGTCCTATTGTTGTCGTGGTCCTTGACTATGTTCTCAACAAGAAGTCAGCGTCTGTGTCATGACAACGGGAAAAAATTCGACACTGAACCTCTTCATTTGCGCAGATGCTTCCAGTGCGTTCAGCGCACCGGCCGAAGTGGCAAGGCCACACACCAGGGCTACGAGAGTTGTTATTTCCGCAACACGGAATATTTGTGGTAGGTGCGCCGGCTCAGGAAGGGAAGGGTCTGGCAGGTTGAGAACATCGCAGCGTAGGATCGTGGTTGCTGGCCAGCGTGATGTGCTTGTCGCTTCCAGATTCGGCATCGCCTTCCGGGTTAGTGTAGACAGAGGGTTTCGGAGTGGAACGCGCCTGTGGCACTGAAAGCGGCACAATTGGCGCGGTCGAAGTTGTGGAAGACATGGCCAGTGAGCCGGTTGCGGGCCATGGTTGGCAGGGTAAGCGGTCTGGCGGAGGGAGCCTGCGCGCGAATCGAGTCGAGGACCATTTGAGCCTGGTTGGGCGAGTTCCAATGTGTGGAAGACCCAATATGTGGAAGGTCCCTGGCGATAGGATAGGTCTTGATGTCCAGGTAGATGAGAAAGACAAGGATAACCAAGGGTGACACTGAAGACGGCCAGGGCGATACCGAAGGCGACAAGGACAATACCGAAGGAGCCGGGTAGGGACGATGGGGTACGAAGCAGGACAATGGAGATGTTGACGGCAAGAACAATGATACCAGAGCTCTCCACCCAGAAACAGCTGCATGCTGCGGGAGGTGAAGCTGGCCAGAGTGCTCTTGCTTCCCTGGGAGGAGCGGAAGGTGTGCGATGATGGTGTCCAAGAATCTGGGAGGGAGGAGGAAGTTCCGATTCTTTTTATGCGCTCCATCACTGGGTATTTTGGCCATACGTCAACCTCCTTCCCACACTTCTGCCCATACAAACTCCTGGTTTCCACCCAAACTTGGAAGACACTCTTTTTGCCGTTTGCTTAGACGCAGCTTCCTTCTCGTGTTACCTGCAAGCTGGTTCTGGCTAGGTTTCGATCGGCTGCTCTCCCCTCTTACAATTGCGCTTTGCCGGGACGTTTGTGCTTTTGCGATGCCCTGCCCCGCGAGGATTTCTGTTGCCATGTGTTTGCCAACTCGACTGACCAAACCAGCAAGGCACTTCTGCGGGCTGTGGCAAGCTCGACGCCCCGCCGTTTTCGGTCCGCACATCTTGTGCTTTTCGCGCCCTCCCGTCCGCAAACCCAACGTCACACAAACATCCCACAACCACGACAACATCTCAACAGCATAGCACTTTTCATTGTTAATCAATAGACCGCACATACTAGAGTCACTTCAACATCAAACTACAACGCTATTGTCTCTACAACGTACACATGGCTCGTCTCATCACTCTGCCCCTGGAACTTCTCGACGTGGAGACAACCTCCGACGATCTTGCACCCATGCAACGAGTCCGCGGGTACGGATTCGGCGTACCAGATCCCAAGAACAACGAAAGGAGCTATGGCTTCGATAGTTCTCAATACGAGCCGTCATTACACAGGAGCCGGCGGCGGCGATTCAAGTCAGAGCACAAGCTCTGGCCCTTGAATTGCGACCAATTTGAGATCCTCCACTTCTCCGCACCTTCGGATCTAGCTCATCTTCTTTACGTCATGGGAGCAGTTGACCCGAACTTCCGTGATTTTGTTACCATGAAGGAGTTGTACTTGGCAATCAGACCGATTGACAAGGACACTTTGGGATGGTCGTCGGAAGAGGCAACAGCACTCCTGCAATTTGCCTCGAGGTTAGGTTTCTCACTGTCTCAAGAGCTGAGACTAGCACTCGAGGAGTTTCTCACCGGGTCGACGCCATCCCCCGATGCCCCCAGATGCCCGCACACACGTGAACAAATACGGATGGCAAATCTGGCCTGCGCTGCTCTACTCGCTATGGTGTTTCAATTCACACGGCACGCGGTGGAATACATCTCGCTCTACATTGAGGCAGACATCCTTGACATCGTTCGGGATTGCATGGGCGACGCGACCATCAATCCTGTTTCTCAGCAATACGAAGACAATAAACCTTTCCCAAACATAAAGCTGTTCGCTTGGAGGTCTAGCCTCCTGCGCCCATGGCGCTAGAAGCTCGATTTGGATGGCATAGTGAACTTCGTCACTTGGGCTAGGATCTCGGCAGTCGACATCAACGGAACCACTTACCCTGAAGTGTGCCGGATCTTTCAGGTTCCACAAGGTGTTCTGCTTGATGGCAATTGCATTACCAATCTCAGTCTTCGCGATGTCATCATCTTCCATGACAACCTGGCTCGTCTCATCAACCACTTGCCAAACGTTGTCCACTTCAGCCTAGAGCTCGACCACGATCTGTTTGAGCCCGGAAGAAACACCGAGTTGCTTGAACCGCTGCCGAGCCAGGTGATCGAATGTCTGCAGCCGTTGTCTCTCAGGTTGCAGTCACTTACCTTGGTCATCGAAGGCACCGAGGGTGTTGCTTGTCCGTTAGTGTATCTGGCATCGACACTCGCAAAGTTCCTATTCTTGAAGAAGCTACATATCGGGATGTGGTGCTTCAGAGGCGAGCTTCTAGACCATCTACCACCTTTCATCACACACCTGGATATCCCAGGCTCGAAGGACAAAACAGGCGAACGGGCCATCAGCACTGTATTGAGTAGGCTATTTGCGGTCTCGCAAGTTTGGCTACCACGGCTGCAACAAATCAAAGCCCCTTTCCGTCTCCCTGTTCCTTTCAATAGGTCGATTCAGGTAGAACTGAATGAAGAGATGGTATAATAGAACAGAATGGTTATCCTCTTTCTCATTCTTGATGTCGTCCATATCGTTCTTCTCGCCCCTATCGTCGTCCATCGTCGCAGTCAATCGTCTAACCCTTATTACAACCCCTATCGCTTCCTTTACTACTGTCGTCCTTGTTATTGGGTACGCTGGCTAAAGTTATAGGGCATATTGCCCGGCTAGCAAGAATCACCGGAATACAATTTGACGGTCTACATGTCACCACGGATTCAGCGGCGATGATGTTTGAATCGGCGGGCTTGGATGGAGCAGGGATGAACACAACGGCATCTTCTGAGTTCGTTAGTTGATTTGACGAGTGACCCGTTGGTTCCTCTTACTTTGCTGCCGCGAGTCTGTTGAATCTCGTCTCAGAGAAAGCACACACACGGTGACCATGCGGATGACACGGGTCACGAGAATGAGAAGTCTTCCCAAACCAATGCTCTGTCCGGGCAGCAAACTCATGGACCGGAGGCTCCTGGTGAAACGAGCGA